TATGAACGTAAAGCAGGCTCTTGCGTATCGAATCAACTGAGAGATATAAACCCCGTATGCAGGTGAAGGTATATTGCTGCATAAAGAAGGGAAGCTGACAATAGAAAATTTAAAGTCATCATGTTTATGTAATTCTCACAGATTCACTCAAATTGCAATAGGAGTGAATAATCCTCTTAAATATATATCAGTTTGAAATCGACGAATTATTTAATATTGATAATACTAATTTTATGTATATAATTTCATTTTTTCCATTTATAAATATGCATATATGGATCTATAAATAACACACAGACGTAGGTACTGACATATTTAAGTCTACAGCTCGAGAAGTCAACAGGTCTAATGCTTAATACGGCCCCCGTTAATATATAATATTTATGAAAAACACTTTTACATTCTGCCCCATCACCGAAGGAACTCAATCACCTCCGTAACGGGTGGTTCTGCAAAAGAAATACCTTAATATCAAATCCAATAATTGATAGTCGGTAGTTTTCGAGACTAATGGCAGCAGTGGTCAGCATCTTTTGATGTTCCCCAATTTCTTTATCAATACAGTTTGGGTGAATCTTCATAAAAATCTCTCTTACCCATGTCGTCTTTAGTGATTGCAATTCTCCGAATTCCAAGCTTTCTAGATACTCTTGTGACAACCAAATTAACTATTGAAATTTTTATTTATAAAACATATGAGTTACTTATACTTACATGGGAATATCACGGTTAATCATATTTGAAGAAATAATTCTTATAAAAACATTGTGAAAATAAATCTGCCTAAGGGCGATATATAATGATACAAATATAATTTTTATTTCAAAGACAAAACCACTTAAATGTTATTCAGAATTGATTCATTAAAACTAAACAGTTCATTTTTCGGAAATCGCAATGTGTTCAGTTTCATTACGTCCCAATTATCAAACCACCAATCAAAATCAATGAAAATATGGGAAAACTGTCACTCAATAGTTAAAATAAATTGATCGTCAATATTTTGCAAAGGAGTTTATATAAATGTTTCCGGGTCTTCAATACAATGATATTCATGCAAAACTTACTTTTGATTTTCTGCGATAAAGATCCCTCATTTAAAGATGCTGCTGCAAATATCGAACCAAAACACACATAAACTACTTGCTTTGCATACTGCCTTAAGGTATCCGATCCATAATAGCCTCCGATTCAATGAATCTGAATGCATAACAGATGTATATTGGCTGAATACAGCTCAGTATATGGAGACATAATCTATTTTAGTCTCAACATGTAACAGCGGAATGTGTCCTAATTTTTTACCTTGATCCATTTTTGAAGAGTTATCCCCCTTTGCGTTTAATCAACAAAATTCATTTTTTAAAAATATATCTGGTGAAAATTATTTTTAATCGTTTTTCTATTCTTAATAATTATATACATCTTTCATAGCATTTTTTGATATTCATCATTTTTATCTTTTAAAAAAAAATTGCTTGTTCCCATAGACCTCAATGCATTCTTAGTTAATTAATTAATTACTGTTTGGGTAATCATAGTTTTGAAAATTTCTCCTGGTTAATCCTTTTCTATCGTAAACTGCTTTGAATTAGTTTCAGAGTATTTAATACAGGATGGATATTTAAGGTTAGAAAATTATCCCTTTTATGGGTCGGATAAATAAATACTCTCTCTGAAGGATTCTTAACTTTAAGACTTATTCTAGAATGCTTCAACTGACTGAAATAAGATGTTTATTATTTTAAGTTAGTAATGTATCCTTATATATAGTCACATGTAATATGCATTATAAACATAACATTTATCTTTTAACAAGAGGCCCATAGGCCTATAGGTCACCTGAGCATCATTTAATTAACAGCTTCCCAATCATACATTAAACCAGAGGCCATGACATTCACACTTTTGAAAGAAGCACCATTGCTCATCATAACTATACACTCAGCATGCTTGCTCCAGGTTGATTACTTCATACCTGTTGCGGGTTCTTCCTTATTATAGTAAAATAACAAAAGTCAAAGCGTTTTCACATTTATATAGATTACATCAACTGTACATAGTATATTCCGGCTCCACTGTAACTATTACCATACACCATAAAACACAGAACACAGGACGTAACGTAGGACGTGTAAACTGGAACGGAGGACGTATAACGGGACCTACATAACACAAAAATTGTAAACACATTAAGTTACACATTAAATACTCAAATCTACATACAAGTTATTACCCACATAACCCACCATACACAAACATGGGATAATAATGGGATCAACATCACAGCGCTGCATTACAGAACTTGTATTAAATGCTTTTACACAATAATTACATTATTGTACATGTAACTTACACTTACACACAGTAACTTCACTTACATAGTTACTTTACTGTTTAGAATCATATTGAAACTAAATACGACAATACTGGAGCCGATGCTATCAATTAACATTACTCACTATAATATTTATAGAACATACAAACTATACAAACGAACGAACGAACATTCAAACGAATAAACTAGAATAAAAATACGTTGAAATAACAAAGTTATCCCAGGACCGTTTAATTAACAAAACAGAGAAGAAAATGTAAATAAAACATGTTACTCATCTCAGAAGTCAGTGTCTGTATTAACGATAAAATTATTATAACTTTACAAAACTTTTCAGTATTAAAATTGGTCAATTGGACAGAGCTCGTGCAGCTACATGTCGGTAAGCCGGTTCTAAGAAGCGTGGAAGCCTAAACTCAGGTGAATAAATACAGGTAGTGGAGAGGTACCAAAAGGGTGTTCGAATAAGAGATCCAGAATAGGATAACTGAAAGAAACTACGGAACAAAGTTCGAATAATAAATACAGTAAATTTAAAATACAAATAGACAATATAACACCGTAAATGTGACAATACCCATAACCAGAGTAGGGAAACAAAAAATGTATTTCAAATAATCAGTAATAATCAGCACTGCCCCTACTCTCAGGAGCCGCTCACCCTGGGACCGAATATTTCTCAATATTAGAAAAGGCACCCTTGCTAATCATAAACGATTGATAAATCCCGAGGAGCAGATTACAAAGCTTTAAGGTATCCGATCCACAATTCGCCTCTATGAAATCGGCCGACTTCGGAACATGTCGTACAAGATCGGAAAACTAAACGTTCCATATATTTTTTTTTTAATTTACAAAAATACATTATTTATATTATTCTAAGTAAACGTTGAAACGTATGAATATGACTATGAAATAATCCAAGCTTTAAATTTAAAAATAACGCGCACGAGAATTCTCGAGACTGTCAATTTCCGTCATGGCGCCAGTGAAAAGAAGACGGAACAAACTCGGGCGGTTCAAAAGTCAGCCGGGAATACAGCCAAAAGTCAGTGAAAACAAAAAGAAAAATGTGATCGAAGAACATAATTATACATCAGAACATATTTGTACAAGTTTCAACGGCTGTGATGTATGCTGTCCAGGGCTAAGTAAGTTGAATGCAGCGAAGAAAATCAACACGAACAGTTTGAAACTAAAAGGAAGACGTATTGTGGAATTTAACATACTCATTGAAGGTCTTGCGAACTGTAAGAAATGTTTTTGTGGTCCTTTATTTCTTTCCCCTCAAACAGTAAAAGCAGAAATGAAAGTGGGACTTTCGGGGTATTTATATGTGCAATGTACCTACTGCGGTAATGTAAACAGAGTACCCTATGGGAAAAAACAGAAGAAGGTAAAAGGCAAGAGAGGAATGCCCAGCTTCTGCGTGAATACTAAACTCGGTGCAGGTAGTTATTGTTTATATATTTACTATATTATTATGTTTATTCACCAATCAAGGGCCCACGGGGGGGCATGAACAATTTTTACAAAATGATAACATTGATTACAATTCTATATTAAGGATAATGTAACATGACTAGTGATTAAGTTTATAAAATTAAACAAAGTGAGCCAAGTTTCTTGTGATTTTTTTTACACTAGGATATAAAACTTCCATGTAGATAGATGGGTTTCTTATAAATTTATGAATTTCTTTTTGATAGCAATGATTGATTCAGTTGGTGGTCCACAGAGGATGAACAATTTTCTTGCAACACTCAATCTGCCAACAATTAATAATAAAAACCTTAAAGTTATGGAACGCAGAGCTGGTGAGATGATTGAGAAATTTGCAGATGAAAATATGAGAAATGAAAGTCAAAAGGCATTCAGAGAGGAAATGGGGTATGTATACTTGTATAAAATGTTATTATTACTAATGAAAGCATACTTTTGAATATTTATCTTCCTTTTATTTAATTTTTTGTTGACTTTTTAAAATTCATTATATGTTTGGCTAATTTCAGAGAAGTTGCAGCACAGGAGATGGATTCAAATGCAGATTTTTATGATAAAGAACTTGGTGTCGCAATAATTGAAGATGAATTTGAAGGGTAAATATTTGAAGTTCGAGCATATAATATATTTGATTGAAAGAGTATATACTGTTTCCCAAGAATCATTTTCTTTTTTATTTTTAAAATCCATATGTTATTTGTAGAGATCCATCACTCATTGAAAAATGCAATATGGGAGCATTTGATTTACTGACTGAGAGGTAAATAAATCTGTATTTCAATTTGGGTACTATTTTAGCTAATAGTCACATACATCAAGAACCTATATAATATGTCAGTTGTAACCATGCTTTCAGTAATAGTACATCCCCTCAACTTCCTGCCAAACCAATGCCAGTAGTGAAAAAAGTTGGTGTTGACAGAACTGCATCAGCCAAAACAAAAAAGAAAATTATATTCCCCTCAAAGACACGATCAGGAATGACAGTAGCAGCTGATCATGCTTGGCAAAAGAGAGGTTATGACAGCTTAACAGGTATTTTGTTGAAACTATTCCAACATTTGTATAATTAATTATAATGCTTATGTAGATATGGGCTGTAACAAAATCATGTATTTCTTTGTAATAGGACATATTACCTGATAAGTAAAAGGAACAAAGTATTAAAGACAGTTATCAAGCATCGGTCATGTGCAACATGCAAATGGTGGAAAAGAAATAGGCCAGGTCAGAGAATAAGGTCTCACAGATGTGTTTGGAACCACCGAGGCAGTGCTAAGATGATGGAGAGTGAGGCTGGACTACTTGCACTGAAAGAAATGACCAGTCAAGGTACACCAGTTGAGATTATTGAAGGTGATGGGGATAACACTCTAATCGCCCGTCTAAAGAGTCAGTGTGGTCTGTCAGTTGTGAAAAGACTTGACAAAAATCATTGTGTTAAAAATATTATAAAAACTTTTTATGAACTTCGCAATTCGAAAGTGGTCAAAATTTCCAATCAGGTCATACAGCATTTAGCAAAGTGCATCAAATACATATTTGCGAAGAATCAAGGTGATGAAGAGGGAATGCGAGAAAATTTGGTAGCATTGGTTCCACATCAGTTTGGTGACCACAGCAAATGTCATGGGAGGTTTTGTGGGTATAAACGTAAACCTAATGAAACTTACATTCATAGAAGTTTGCCATATAAAGTACCGTTGCAGGATCCATTGTTACGTCATAGTCTTGATGAAATTTTTGCTCCAATCATTGCCAAAAGTGCTTCATATGTAGAATTAGGGTCAAGTCAGGCATGTGAGCATGCCAATAGAGAGACATGTCTTAGAGTTCCGAAGCATCTCCATTATGGCGAAAGTGAGAGTTTAGATTTTAGAGTGAAAGCAACAGCAGCATATATTAATGAGGGTAGAAAGTACTTGTCAGAGGTATATTGTTCATGGTTCAGTTCTTTCTTTTCTGTTGTTTATTGAAATTTCTGGTGATACAAGTTGGAATTTTGAAAGGTACTTCTGTTCTTGTTATTTCTTGTTGGGATTAGTTGAAATGTTGACATTTGTTAATTTTCTTTGTTCTGCCATTCTGCGTTTACTTTTTCAGACACTAAAGATCTGGTATTGTTGAAGCACTAATATAATAAATTCTATTTATTACATGTTTACAATTACTGGGAATTTCCGGTAGGATATTACTTATGTGATAAATGTTTGATACAACATTTTGATGAAGTTACAACATATTTTCTGCATTTTTATCAAAATAACAATAAGACTCAAAAATAGGACACTAAGAATTTGTTGGGAAATAAAGATCATGACTCATGAGAAATTAAATTTAATCTATAAAAATTTACTACAATAATGTTGTGAACTCAAGTATTTTATTTTGTAATACATACAGACTTTCGTCAACAATGACCTGTCTCCTGGACACTTCTCCGAGTCCTATGCAGAGAAGATGGACGCTGACAGGATCAAGAGGATGGAGCGGGCCAGGTTACCAGAGAGAAAGAGAAGAAGGCTGACGTTGAAGGAAGAGAGAGCAACCTCAAAGGGAGGAAATGAAGCAATGGAAGGATTGTCCTATCAGTCTGGTTTGTCATTTTTCAGATGCAGAAATTTTCACAATTATTTTAGTATGTACAGTGTACAATATAAAAACATTTTTTTTTGTTTTAGAAATAGGACTTTCTGTCAATGATAAAGAAGATATAGAAAGTATCCCTGAGCCTGTGCCAAAACCAAGCTTTTGCTCCTCCACAAAGTTGAAGCACTGCCCTTCACCAAATGTTGTCATTTTAGATCTGGAAACCACTGGCCTGAGTAAATATTTTTTTAAAAATATTTATTTAAAATACTCTATGTAATCAGATAAGATTGGACTACCATAAAAATTTGCATCCATATTTTTTTTCAGTTCAGCATGGCATTGTGCCCCACATCACCCAGATTGCTGCTGTAAATAGGAATACAAAGGAGCAGTTCTCCAGATATGTGGCTCCAGACCTGCCCATTACACCAATGGCGGAAAAGGTCACCAACATAACCTGGAGTGGTGGAGTTCTATGTTACCGTGGTGAGCCAGTTGATTTTGTGAGAGTAAAGTCGGCACTGGAGGATTTCTTGGAGTGGTTAGAGAAATTTCCCAGCATAGTAATGGTAGCACACAATGGCCGAACATTCGATTTTCGAGTATTATGCAGGGCATTTCATAGATGTGGTTTGCAAGAGAGATTTTGCTCTAATGTTGCAGCATTTTGTGACTCGCTTACTCTTTTCAGACAAAAGTACCCTAAACTTGATAAGTATAAGCAAGAATTTCTGGCACAGCATTTTTGTGGTCATACTTACAATGCCCATAATGCTCTTGATGATGTTGTCATGCTAGATGAAATTATTGAAGCAGGACTTATCTCTGTTTCAGACTTTAAAAAACATTCGTATGATACAGATTGCCAATTTCTTCAAGAAGAATTTAATTCTTGTAAATCAAAAAATGTTGCTTCACTTCGCCCTCTTATTGGTGAAAAAGTAATGAAATCCTGCACGGTAGAAAATATTGCTGGATCTGGACTGAATCTGGGTCATTTGAGACTGATATTCAAGAGAAGTGGTGAAGATGGACTGGTTAATGTGTTTTCTATGAAAAATAGTTTAGGGAAACCAAGAGTCACATCAGACAAAAAGGTGTTGGGAGAATGTATTCCAAAACTGTGTGCATATTTTAGCAAATGATATGTTATTATGTGTAAAATTGTAAAATAGCTTAGGGAAGCCAAGAGTCACATCAGACAAAAAAGTGTTGGGAGAATGTATTCCAAAACTTTGTGCATATTTTAGCAAATGATATGTTATTATGTGTAAAATTGTAAAATAGTTTAGAGAAACCAAGAGTCACATCAGACAAAAGAGTGTTAGGAGAATGTATTCCAAAACTATGTGCATATTTTAGCAATTGATATGTTATTATGTGTAAAATTGTATAATCAACGTCAAATGTCCATTCAAGCAATACAAACTTGGAACAGAGCAAACATTGATATATTAATATTTTAGACAGATATTTCTATGATTTATTAGCTTGAAATTTGAGAGAAATACATTTAGTGTTGTGAAAATATCAGGTTGAAACCGTAGAAAATTTGTTTACTTTACTTTCTCGAAAAGTTGCTTATGAGTTATCTCCCTTTGTGAGTTGTTGCCCCTGATGACCTATTTATTTTTAACTACTGTTGCTGCCCTATAGATTAAACACAAAAGAAAATATTGCTTCCAGTTATATAAGAGAATTATAAATTATTCAAATTAACCAAAATTGTTAATTTTTTAACGTCCAAAAATGTGGGGTTTTTTTGTATAATTTCACTTGCAGAAATTGTAAATGTTGAATTTTTTTTTTGTTTTTCATGTATTTATATATAAATGATAAAATACAACAGGTATTTAAATTGACTTTTATTGTTTTTAATACATTTCTGTCATTTTATGAATGCTGTGAATCAAATTTTAAAAATTTTGAAAACATCCAGAGTTATCTCTCCTTATGAGTTATCACCCTTGATGACCTAGTTTTTGTATCCCCCATGGGGTGATCATCAATACTCAATAAATAAATCATATGCTTTCCATGTATCAATTTTTATTGAATTATGGATCGGATACCTTAATTCATTTTCAGTATCAATGGTACCCCTGATCTCGGAGCCTTGAAATTCACAATTCTGGAAGAGGCATCATTGCCAATCATAACATTATAGATAGTTCAACAGCTTAATTCCCAGGAGTAGAGGAGAATGTTTACAAAGAACTAATGCATTTTTACTATGTAAGTTACATAGCTCTTCCCTAACACCAAAACTCTTGACCATAGGGCCATGGAATTTACAGTTTTGAAAGAAGCAGTCTTGCTCATCGTTGCTACATATATATGTAAGACTCTAAGGTCTGATGGTGACGCCAAAGTCCGATGCTCTTGGCAAACCTCGATGGTCTGCGCCAAATCCCGATGGTTTGTTGTCGGTACGGACGCCAAAGTACGATGGCTCGTTTCCTATGAGACGCGCTGCGCTAAAGTGCGATGGTCTGACACGCCAAAGTCCGATGGTGTGGAGAAACAATCGACGTTTATGACGTCACAATAATCCGACGTCAATCCATGATACCGTTGTCCTGCATTCAAAATCCATCATTTCTGAATTCGTCCTCGCATACAGTTTTATTGATTTTGCTTATTGCTTCGCCTTTTAGAGTTATAAGGATTAGTCCTCTTATACGTACACCATTCGACTCATTAGGGTTAATTAGCCCTTGCTTCGCACAAACTCGAGTGATTAGGGTTAGTCTCGCACCCACCCACGAAATCTAGGATACAGTTGTTAAATACTTTTTGAACGATTATAGATTCGCACCTATCAGAGAGATTAGGGTTAGTTTTCTTTTTAATTTTTTTTATATTTATGTATACTTATTTTAGACCTTGGCACTTTGGTGCAGTAGCAATATGATGTCATAAACGTTAATTATTTTCCGCACCATCGCACTTTGGCGTGTCAAGCCATCGGGGATTGGCGCAGACCATCGTAGTCTGGAGTCCCATCACACTTTGGAGTCCTACATATGCATATACTAGTATTTAGTTTGCTGAATACCTAGGAGCAGAGACGATTTTCAATAACTAATGCATTTTCACTATGAAATTTATATAGCCACATCAACACCAGAACCCCTAACCCTGGGGACATGAAATTCACAATTTTGAAAGAGAACCAGTCATGTTATTATGGAAGAATGTTTAACAACTGCTAATCTTAAAACATGCGTTGTATACTAACTTGTGATTGTTGAAGACTCATCAGATGAATCATTCTGAGACACTGAAGGTTTAATATTTTCGTTATGATCTTCTTGAAAAAAATCGTGTTTATTCCAGTTATAAATATATTTTTCCTTAATCAAGTTTTAGAGTTACTTTAAGAATTCTAAAAACTTAACATTTTTGAAAGTCTTGTATAGTCTGACTCTGGTTGTAAATAAATAAACACATGAAATATTTTTTCTTTGTTAATTATTTTGCCAAATTAATTAAAAATAGATGAAATATAATGAAAAAACAAACTGCACATTGTTATTTAATGAAGCTGTTTCCATACCCACATCTGATCCGTAATTTCTAAATGAACTCTGCATATGTCTCAGTCATTTCTTCAAATACTTGCTCTGCGACTTCTGTCTGACTATACTGCTGTCCTTTTATACATGTATATTCCTCGTAAATTTTTGTCATTATTTCCACGAAGTCCTGCATATTTGATTGTTTGAATGTTTGCATATTTGAAGTAATTCTTTGGACTGCCGATGTATAAAATATGGGTTTTGAGACAAAGAATAGAAAGTGGTCAATCAGACAATCATCTCTCCCAAGATCAAATAAATCGGAAAGCAGAGATGCGGATGAATAAATAAACATGTCATGGAAGATTTCATTAAACCTCTGTTTCCTGGTACTAGGGTGGCCATGTCTCCTTTCCCATCCGATATTTAGCATAAAAGTGGACGTTCGCCCTCTGCTTCCGATTAACATTTATTGATGTTAGGAAGCGGTGACCCTCATCTCTAGTGCATGTAATCAGACTGTCACTATCGTTGTCTATCTGGTGTTTCTGTAAACCGGTTGTATGATTATAGCTGTAAATTCAAACCATGCTGCTTTCTGATTTTTTCAATAACTGTATCTACCACTCTGTAAATTGTGTTGCTCTACCGGGCGCACACACGGGAATTATATACTGATTTAGAACCGTCGTGTATTCCCGGCCTCTAACAGTAACTTTGCTTTCCGGTCCTGTCAGTGGCGCAAATAACGGTTATAAACATGCTGAAATTAAAGCTTTTGAACAATTTGTCGCTTTCTCAAACACTGTCAACCAGTTTCCAATTTCCTCTGAAAGATACATTTTTCCAAAATATTTTAACGTTGTACGAGTTCTTGTAAAGACGTATAATACATCTTCCGTCCGAACTTTCTTCACAGATGCCATCTCTTAATCTATACTATGTGTCTTTGAAATGAAACTTTTCTGTTGTGAAGTCATAGTATAGGTAACGTTAATAATTTTTGTAGATTAATTTTTGTTTCAGTTGGTGCAAATTCAAAGAAATTCATTTTGTTCCATAAGGAAGTTGATAGATTTATTGATACAACGTGTATGTATTGTATCTTAAACTCAGGTTCGCTATGTGGTCCAGTCACAAGTTTTAAGAAATGTGTCAACCAGTTACACCCAGAACTTGACCGTCTTTGGCAGAGTCCCTAGTCCTCATACAGTTATACCGATGAAAATGTGATATGCCAAAGCGTGTGTTGGTGCCAATACACTTGCACAATTCATGTCTTATCTCATCAAGAAATGAGATTTCCCTAAAAACATTACACAAATAATTCTATTCGGGCAACTTGAGACACAACGTTGTTCAAAAGAATGTATGGCCCATCTCATATTATAGCTGTTACTGGTCATAAACCTGTCCAGTCTCTAACTGTATTAAAAGAGTTGACGAGGTTGAGAAGGTGGGGATGTTGTAAAGCATCTGAGAAGCATTACTGCCTAGTGTAAATAACCAACTTGCTTTACCATCTGCTAGCAATACTGAAGCAAAAACTGGCCTTACCATCCACTAGCACTTTTGGAGCTGCACTGATAATGATGGAGATCAACTCGCTTTCCATGATGATGGTCGCCCGCGTGGCGCAGTGGTTAGAGCGTCTGCTCTAGAGTTGCGAAGTAAGGAGTCAATCCTTACGTCGCGGGTTCGAATCCCACTGTGGGACGTGGAGACCTGTCCTTCGGATGAGACTGTATAAACCGAGGTCCCGTGTCGCAGTAGGCGCTGGCACGAAAAAGATCCCTCCCTGCTCAATGGCCCTAAGTGCCGAGTATAGGACACAATTTGCAGCTCTCCACCGGCAAGTGGTGGCGTCTCCATATAAGTGAAAAATTGTCGAGAAGGACGTTAAACAATATACAATCAATCAATCATTCCATGAGGATGCAAAGTGTCTTGATGGAATTTCTCTTAAAGATTTGCTTGGTGACACTTTCCCAAATACTCTTGCAAGTATTTCAAACACAGCTGTGAAAAACCAGTCAAAAGAAGCCTACAATCTTTAACAATTGCCAATTTCAATCAACTTCAACCTAAATGGAAATAAGATGTAAAACAGTTATTGTAGTCCTTTCATGTTTATGTCCATTTCATGTAGAATAATGGTTGTTATATGTTGTTTAATATTTTATTACTTGATATGTCGATTGGTGATGAATTAAAAATTGATATTTTGATAAGATACTCATAGATTCTTTTTGGGGGGCAGCATTTTTTTTTAGGTTTACAAACCCGCCGCTCAAGTTTTTGAATTTTCAGAGAAAAAATAATAAAATTGAGAAAAACATATTTTTTTTCTTTCCGATGTCAAATTTGAGTGGGGATCGAGATTTCAAATATACGAACTCGTACTTCCGGTTTTAAGATGAACATGGCGGGTAAGTAAAGGTAGATCTGCAAAGGCAATAGTATCACCATAGCTTGGTTTAGAGTAAAAATTTACCAATGGGCTTGGAGTGCTATTCAAAACGTTTCACCCGTTCAGAGGACAAATAAAATGCTGACGACTTTGTTGCATAATGACTTGTTGGTAAGATAATTATGTACATGTATTCGTATTCAAAAGTATCTGCCTGTAAATTATTTTCCTTCCACAGATTTAAAACTGCCAGTGGTAGCTATTGCCATAGACATTGTTTAGGTCTCTGTTATAGCTTACAATCTAAGCATAATTCTTATGAAAAGGATTGTTTGTGCAACTGGTGTAATGAATAAAATTAAGGGAGAAGATTCTGAAAGCTGTCAATGCTAAAAAGGTTCACAATCCAGGAATTCAATTAGCAAAGTTTCCCTCTGATGTCTATGGAACACAATTTCATGGAGAAACACTGCATAACCTAGTTGATATGCATGCACTAAATAACCAAAAGAGGCCACTAATCATCAGTATCATAGATCGACTGCATTCAATCTAGATTTGAGAGTCTGCATCAAAACTCCATATAAACAGCATGTCATGCCTTTGACCACAGAACTGGCTAGATATGAATGCTGGTAATGGTTGGTATTCTTTTTCCTCAGTCAGGTAATTTTTATGTCGTTATATATTTACTTGGATTTGTACATGATTATGGCAATTATTAAATAGAAAATATTTAATCATTATTTACTCTGGGATTAAAGAAAATAAATTATATTTAATATATTGAGGTAAACTTTATTTAATAAATGACAAAGT